CGCAAATACGATATGATATTCCAGAATATAGAGGCTTTGAGTTGGCCTGCTATTAATAAATGAAATGCATCATCGATAATTTGCGCGCGATTAAGAACATGAATTTTCGTGTAGTCATCAGAGTTTAGATAATTTGAAATTTTTCGCCAATTCCAATCACCATAGTTAATGCGATAATATCCTGTCGAATAGTAAATAAATATATCAATATATAATATATTTTTATTGTTTTGAATAATTTTATCATTAATATACTTATTTTTAAACTTATTTCAATTTTGTTTCACATTTTTGTTTATATAAATTATACCTCCACTCACCCCACCCACCCACGCACTTTCTCATTAATGAATTGATTCCCCTGAAATTGGTATCAAAATTTTGAAAATTTTTCGGGAATGGCTAATATGTGGTTTTTTTAAGTTTTACACCGCCACGCACTCATACATTTATTGACCAATTTTATTGAAATTAGTACAAAAATTTTCCAAATTTTTCGGAGATGGCAGCGATGGTAATTTTTTAAAGTTTTACACCTTTACACATTTACCCACGCACTCACAAATTTGTTGACCGATACTTGAAATTCTTATCAAATTTTGCAAATTTTCCATGGATGGCTACTAGGTTTTTTTAAGTTTTACACCTCCATTCACCTACTTACACACTCACCCACGCAAAATCAAATTAATGGACCAATTCCCTCGAAATTGGTAGCAAAATTTTGAAAATTTTTTGAGAATGGCAATAATGGTGATTTTTTTTAATTTTACACCTCCACTCATTCACTCACGCATTCAAACATTATTGACCAATTTTTCAGAAATTGGTATCCAAATTTTGCAAATTTTTCGGGGATGGCGACAATAGTGATTTTTTAAGTTTCACACCTCCATCCATCTATATATAAAAAGGGAAAGTGTAAAAATGAAGATTGATAAATTCAGCAATCAAGGACATCTAATTGAAGGAAGTAAAAAATGCTTAACAAAAAATGTAATATACAGAGAAATTGTGTAAATTGAGGAATTATGAAATTGTATGAAAGCTAATAATAGCGGGTTAGCGGTGGGTACATTAGACGTAAACAAAAAATATTTGAGTCAGTAAAATTTAAAAAAGGGTATAATAATTAAATACTAAAAACAAATTAAAATTTTTATGTATATATTAACCAAACTAATGTTTCAGAGCTAAAACATGAAATTGTGTGAAAATTAAAATAACAAAAAATATTAATAAGCTAATTATAAGCTAATAAAGTTTAACGAAGAATTCTCTGTTTAACTATATAGTTAAAAAATATTAGTTGCCATAGTTAAAAATTTAGGCATGATAACTAAATTTTAAGTGTAATATAGGGACAGCTAAACTTTAACTATGATGGCTAATATTTTTTCCGTGATGATTAATTAAAATTTTAAAAGCTTAATTTTGGTTTGCTTTCTAATTCTCGTGAAAAATTATGGACACAGATCTGAAGTATTATTCACATAGACCCTTATATACAATATATAATAGAATTTCATACATATCAATAGTATACATATATACATATATAGAATACGAAGATTCTTTTTTTCAAAAATAAAGCACATAGAGGAAGAAACTACTTTATATAAAATATTATTTAATTTGGTAAAATGTAAGATATTATATAAACTTAGATTAATGATGATTGATATTGATTACATATCTTTATTTTCACTTTCTAATTCAATCGCGTAGTATCTCATCGTCTATTATTTAATATAGAGAAAATTTGCTATCATAAAATGCATCAGATACATCGCGATAAAAGTTTCTTTCTCTGAAAAAAAAAAAAATCAAATGCAAGGATATAACTTACGACATTATTTAATTGAATTATATTGTTTATCTCGACTGTTTAATGATGAGTCTTAGAATTTCAACTTTTAATTTAATGGCTCTTTTTGTTTTATGAATTTCATATGTGGCACATGTATGTGTTATTTATCGTGTTATGATATATTATCAAATTCTTAAGATAGAATTCTTAAGACTATTACACTGTTTTAAGTTTTAATATACATGGAGTTCTCGGGCCTTTGCGACTTATGTGACATATAGCTAGATTTTTGTGATGCTGTGCAATTGAGAAATAATGAAATAATAATTTCAAATCTCAACGCCGCGAATTTTTTAAATCTAAACGTCATTAAATTGTCGATAATAAATATCATTATCGCGAATAATTTATTTTATTAATATGCAAACATGTGCATCTCAATTTACATACGGAAAAGAAAATAGCTATTATCCTTGTTTCATATCGATAATTATCTAATAATTCGATACCATTTTTATTCACATAGTACGAGATTACAATAAAATATATAAAATGCATAATATTCTTTATTAATATTTATAAGACGTTTTTATGTTATTTTGAATACACAAACATTGATGCAAATAATGATAAATCTTTTTCGCATTTTTATACTCGTACATGATTTTTTCAAAGAAAACAGTAAGAAAGTTCTGAGGTTATTTATAATATTTGTAAGATTCCAGTTTAGTAGTTTTTCCATTAATTAAAGTTCAACGCAGTATATTAATCGATTCAAGAATTATGATAAAATTGCACATGCTCCAATTTGCATATTTCAACTTCCGTCAAAGATAGATTTATGAGACAATAACTTATGTTCAGAAATCGGAAATTCAACCAAAAATTGTTCTGAAGTTTAACTTCTAATTCTTCCAATTTTTCTAATTTTTTAATTGGGATTAAAATAAATTATAATATTTTTAATTTTTTTATAAATTAAAAATTATTTATAAAGTGACCAAATTAAAATAAAATTTCAAAAAAGCATCTATTATTTTCACCTTTATTGTTTTTATACAAATAAATCAGTATTATATGCACAAGAAAAATATCTAATTATATTTTATTTAAAAAAGTCGATTCCAAAAAATATTTTTATTTAAGATTGACAAAATACACGTTAGAAGACAAATATATTATTATATATTTAATATAATATAATAAAACTTGGAATATGAATTTTATATATATACAAATTTTCTTTGTAAAAATATGTATTAATAATTTATTTATTTATTATAATAAAATGTGCAGCGTATATTGATGTATTGTGTTTATTACCCATTTGTCAGTATAATCTTATAAATTAATGTATCTTTCATTATTCTTGATTGTATATGTTACATTAATTAAGGCAACAGTAGAAGCTATATTTATACACAGATGTGTATATGTAACGATATAATGTCTTAAAAGCGTTTTGACTAAATAGCTGTTCTTAAGTATGTATATATTGCCGATATTTAAAATAAATTTATAAGTATGTACATATATAAAAAAACGTGCGCAGCACAATTTAAAAAGACGATGTTTGATATAAAATTAATCAAAAAAATTTAATGTAAAAAATGTAACATAAAATATTACATATAAAATAGTTTCAAGTTTCTAATTATAATTTTTTATTAAACATTTTTTTTGCACATTTAAATTATATAAATGTTTTAATTATTATTTTCGTTATTATTATTAAAAGTGTACATTTAAGAAACTTTTAATAATTAATATCAACTTTTGTAAAAGTAATGAAAAATTTTGTTAGCATAAAAAATGCTATTCTAGACAATAATAATTCAATTTTATAGTAGCTTATAATGTCATAAAAATATAATTATTTGCAATTTTGATTTAAAACATAAAATACATCGTCTTTTTAAAACAATTATTAAACTTATACATATAAACTTTGTGTAAATAATATTTTTTTGAATACTTTAAAATAGAAAATGGCTGTTTGATATATATATATATACATATATATATATATATATATATATAATATATATATATAATATATATATATATATATATATATATATATAAAATTCATATCTAACGACGAGCACACTGTTAAACTATAATGGGCAGTTTTTTGTACAATTACGGTTATCCATAAAAGTACTGCATGTAACATTAATTATAAATCAATATAACAACATATCAGCGCTAGAAGCTAGCAAACTATTATAGAAAACGCTATAGAATGTCACTTTCTCTCTTTCGTATATTTGCTTCACACAATCACTCTTTATTCACGCATTTCATTATACACATTCGAAACGTAAGTGTAAATAAAAAAAACAATTTGCTTTTTCGTTGAGAGCAAACATACGCGAACGTGTATTTGTTTGTTGACTCGGTTATACATGTCGTAATCGTATCGTATAATAGTACTTTTTATAAAGTTTGCATTTTTATGCTCTTACATATTTTAGGTACATGCTCTTTTCGTGTGCATTGCAGATAACAGATCAGATGCCGTTTCTCTAGTACATGATTCTCAAAAATAATAAAACCTGTGTACATATATGGGCATCACAAGCAATATTTTTCCACACGACTTTAATATAATCTTAAGCATATAAAAATAAATTATAATAATATGATCATGTCTCTGTGAGCTAACGCATGTACAATGAATACTATGTTATGTATGTATATGCATACGTACATGTATGTATGTACGTACGTATATATGTATGCATAAGTGTATGTGCACAATGCGCATAAGACGCATATGTGCATAATGAGCAACTATTAAGGGAATATTGTACTATATACTTCAAAATTATACAGGAACTCGAAAAGTGCTTAATGAAAAAATATTTTAATATAGTGTTTTGAAAACGTCTCGATATGAGCTACAAGAATATATAATATAAAAGATAGGAGGTTTTATTTAAAATTTTCATGTTGACCTTGACTGCGTTTTTTCAAGGTTATTTCAAGGTTAAATAGATAACATACCAAAGTTTTTTTAAATCCTATTCTTTTGTTTGAAACATTTTTTATTAAATCAATATTTTCTGAGATACTATAATTTGCCATTCCGGAACTTTTGCTCTTCCCTGTATATACATATGTACATTTAATTTTAAAGTACAATATTTGAAATATTTCCTTAATAGTTACTCATTATTTTACGGAGTACAATTAAAATGCTTTTCTTTTTCTTTACGAGTCTTAATGGAACACCTAGGCGAGTTGTATGCAAAAATTTCAATTATATAACAACTGTATATATATATATTAATTAATAATACCTGTTTTAAAAAAGTTTACTTATATAATAACATAGCATGATAAAATATGTGAAAAGCAGAATTTCAATGAAACTTCTACGTGCGTTGGGTCTCCCCTAAGTGTTCCTACACTAATATATCCACCATGGCATCTGCTGGTGTTTGCTTTGGCTGCAGCAAATTTCCTGCAAAAGAAACACAAATTGATTATTTAAAAGAATTGTATTCTAATTAATTTCATTAAAACATTTAGGTCGTTGTACTTACCTACATAGTTTAAAGAGTTAAGTAAAGAGTTACAGGCTTGTGAAGGCACAAGATAAAACGACTAGGATTAATGCTAAAAGAATTCCAGGAGTTTTTATAGCTGCCGAGTTTCCATCTGCAAATATGCATAAAATTAAAAATTAGTGAACTAAAGAAATTTTTGAAGATAAATATTCTATTTGATAAAATTATTACGTTCGCGTCTACCTTTTTGTGCCATCTCAGAAGGATAATCTGGAAAAGAATTTAAAAAAGAAAACTTTAATATTTGTAATCACTTAAATATGTATATTTAATATTTTAATTATTTAAAAATTATTCAATCATATAAGTGTAATTTTATCTATATAATTATATATATATATATAATATATAATAAATAATTGCGGTTAATTAAATATTTAGAATAGATATAATATTTCTGATTTAATTCAAAATATTTTTAGTAAAATATTATACGAATCATATACAAATTAATATTTACATTAAATGCAGAAAATGCAGAATTTATCTATATATATATATATAAGGTTGAGGAAATCGAAAGAAGCAAGACAATGCGCGGCCTCGAGGGCAGAGAGAATTTGACTTGCGTTCGCGTAACACGTTTGTTTCTCGGTGGAGAGAGTAAAAGTTTGTATCAGGTCTTTTATGACACGAATAAAATGAAGTGAGATACAGTATACTGTGCATCCCCAAATTAATATTCCGGATAAAATATCCTTTTCCGATCCGCGATAGTGGCGAAACATAATTAACAAACAAAAACGCGCTCAAAATACAAATATACGTACCACCAGTAAACATATGCGGTTCTGATGGCATAGACCATCCGAATGCGTTTCTAGCCGAAAGGATTGCCTCGTAAGATCCAGGCTGAAGATCTGCAATCGGATACTCTACGGTAAATTGATTTCCGTTACCGTCTTTGACTTCAGGTTGAACAACGATCCATTTCTCGTCACCCTTATGACGATATTGCAACTGTAAAGAGAAAAATTGTATATTTGTCACTTTATGAATTTTAAGGATTTTCTACATGGTTATATTCTTGATGTACGCAAAAAGTATATTTACCCTGTATTCTCTGATCGGTGAATGACTTTTCAGGTGCCATTTCAGAATAATTCCCGCATCATTCTCAGTCATTGTGGCCCCGGATATTTTTGCTTGCGAGGGTGTACCTATAAAATTTGCATTTTGCAAATGAAAATCTTTCTATGGATTTTCTAATATATCTCTGTGTAAAATATTACATGATATAATAATTACCTGTTAAAATGATAGATACTGCGTCTCTACCAATATTATTCTCCGCGCGGCATTTGTAGTCGCCAAAGTCCTGCTTCGAAGTGTGCAAAATTTTCAAAACGTGCTTGGTCTTGTTGCCCTTCATATTTCCATGATGCATCTCAATCGATCCCTTCTTGTTCGTAATTTCCTTGCCGTCTTTATACCACGTTATTATAGCTTCGGGATAGGCGCTCACGATGCACGTCATTTCCGATTCGATACCCTCCCCGCTGTGAACTATGTGTTGTTTCGCCTCTATCTTAGGTACATCTATTATAAAGTAAAATAAAGTCAGTACATAATGTTAAAATACCTTCGCAAAATAGATATTCTTAAGACAAAATTTAAGCCACATCGCGGCCGAACTAGCAATGAGCAATTAACTTACAATCAGTGTTGTGCTTAGATAATTGTAAAATTAGCTAGATAAAGATAAGATAAAAATATGTAAATTCATCTTACAATTAGATAAAAAGAAGATGATTTTGTTAAAAATATATCTAGATATAAGATAAAATTATGACGATAAAGATAAAATTGTGGTGATAAAAGATAAATATGGCGATTCATCTAGATAATAATTTTTAAGACTGCTTATGTAAACACAATTATAAAAAAATGTAAATGTAAATTATAAAAGCGATATAAAAATTATATATTTATATTTTTATTTATAAATGTTTATTGCTTACTGCTTAAGTTTTTCTATTTAAGTCTTTTTATGTGCTATGATTCTAAATCAAAATTATCCGAAAATTATTCTAGATAATTTAGTAAAGATAATATTTTTTTTCATCTAAAATGCAGATATAGATAATACATATTCTTATTATCTATATAAAGATAAGATGACGCTAAAGTTTCATTTAGATCATCTACGAGGTGTGTTCAAAAAGTATCGCGAATTTTGAATTTCCGCGGGTTACGTATATTCGATTTTCGATTTTTTTGTGGCGTTATGTTGGTACTCATGTTTCTCATTTATGCCGACAAGTACGGCCATTTTGAATGTTTAGTTAATTTTTGACAGCTGCTTTGCTTGCACGTGTTTTGGCTTGTCTTCGATTTTTGCCTATTCCAAAAAATGGATCAAAGAATCTGTATCAAATTTTGTGTGAAAAACAAAATTAAGTGCGCGGACGCATTCCGAATGTTGACTGTGGCATATGGTGAAGCTACCTTGGACCGAAGCAACGTTTATCGGTGGTACAAAATGTTTTCCGAGAGCCGAGAAGATGTGAACAACGAAGAGCGTGCCGGACGCCCGAGCACGTCAACAACAGACGAAAACATTGATGAAGTGAAGAAAATAGTATTGGTCAATCGTCGAATCACCGTTAGAGAAGTTGCTGAGGACCTAAACATATCGATTGGCTCGTGCCATTCGATTTTTACCAATGATTTGGGCATGACACGGGTCGCCGCGAAATTCGTACCAAAATTGCTCAATTTTTGGCCAAAAACAACACACTAATAATGCCGCAGCCACCGTATTCCCCAGATCTGGCCCCCTGTGACTTTTTTTTGTTCCCGAAACTGAAGAGGCCCATGAAAGGACGACGCTACGCTACGATTGAGGAGATAAAGACGGCATCGAAGGAGGAGCTGAACAAGATCACAAAAAATGATTTTTTGAAGTGCTTCGAGGATTGGAAAAAACGTTGGCACAAGTGTATAATATCTGGTGGGGATTACTTTGAAGGGGACAAAATAAATATTCATGAATAAATAAATAATTTTTGAAAAAACACAAAATTCGCGATACTTTTTGAACACACCTCGTATATAATTTGATTTAGATAACAGCAAACACTGCTTACAATGTACAATGACGTTGATTGCTTCCATCGCCGGTGTCTTTGAACCATCCTCCGCGAGACACTGATATAGACCACTATGAGATCTGCTTACTTTCCTTATTATAATGTAATTGCCGTCCAAAATCACATCGGGATCGTAGCTATCCACCTTCTTGTTCTATAAAAAAAGAAAAATAAAATCAGTTTTGTCTTTTGTCTTTTTTGTTTAATATTGCTTTCTTCTAAATTTGCAATCTTTTGTTTAATATTTAATATCCACCAGCATATTTTTCATATATTTGTTTACATATTTGTTCAACATATTTATATTTATATTAATTATATTAATATTATATAAATTACATTCCCAATTATTAATAACAGTCACTAGTATTTAAATAAGAGTTGTAAAAATAATCAACCAAACTAAAGAAAATGTTACTGACAACTATTGTATAATGATGTTTTAATTTTAACTTAATTCATTTGTATGATTATTCCGTTTTTAATTTGGTTTGTGTATATTCGTGAGTTTTTTCTATGTTAATAATTATTTCTGTAATAAAATATTTTTAGTATTTCACTTAAACAGGACCACAATCACATGGTCGAAACGTCGTGAAGCTGAATAAACTATTTACTCGCTAGTTTGGTCGATTATTTTTACAACTCCTATTATATAAATTTTTGCAAAATGATATATAATAGCATTATAGTTATAGTATCATAATATTGTTATATTTTAAATATTTTACCTCGATAAACCATTTAATCTCAGGCGGTGGCTGCACGTCTGTTTCACAACCAAGCTTGATAGAGTTGCCCTGGTTCACTTCAATTTGTCGCGCAGGTATTACACGTATGATTCCCTTGTGCGAATGTTGCGGCGGTGACGGAGATTGTTCATGTATTCTCTCAGGATCCACCAATAAACGATGGATTAAATTTATGCTATTCGATTGCCGAAGAATACTACAGTTGTAATCGTTGGAAGAGTCGCTAACCGATGCGTTGTAGATCACCAAGCTGTTGTTCGGCAATCGTACGATCCTATTCTTATCTTCTACGTGCGGTTGATTTTCGAAGTATAGGAGCTTATTGTCCTTCATCCACGTAACCACGTAATTTTCTGTAACCGTTCGCGATAAAAATGTTTCAAAATATATTATTAATATAATATCAATTTCTTATTTTACTTACAAATCATAATTAAAACTTGCGCAAAAAATGTGGACAGATATACATTTTACAGTTTTGAAATGATTTTATTGTATTCTCTTTTACTTTAATAAATTTATCTCTCTTATTATAAATTTTATTGAAGTATGCCGAGCAATTTTTTAAAATAATTTCGTACAAACCTGTATGAATCACTTGACAGGGTAGTATAACAGTGCTTCCGGCTTTTACTCGAAGACTTATTCTCTGCGATAAAATTTGTGGTGGTGCTTCGACAGTGCCGAGATTGTCATCTTCATCCTCATCATTTTCGTCATCTTCTTCATCGACAGGTGTATCATCCTCATAATCAAAATCCTCCTGACTTTTAGTCGGTTTGCATAAACCTAAAACAGAAAAAGGTACAATGAATTTTAATATGAGATTTATGCAACGCGAATACGAAAATAAATAACTTATATTTCATTAAGCTTTTACTAAATTATTTAAATATGATTCTTTTAATATAATAAATTTAAAATATAATATTAAAATATAAACAAATTTAAAATAAAATGAAAAAGACAATGAAATTTAATCTTGGCAAAATTATTACTAGCATTCGTTTATGGTATATTAGTAAAATCTATATAGTGTCTCGCTTTCATAAAATTAACATAATAATGATAGAAATAATAATGTTTTAATTTTATTTGTGGCTACAAGTATCACCCGAATAGTCACTGACGCAATCAGTAATATTTTAAAGTAACAGTTTAAAATTGCAATAAATTAGATCATCTTATTAATTTGCTGAACCGCGGATGTTCAGCTGTTCGCCGACAATTTTACCGGTTCTCGTCGAAACCGCAAACTGATACCCTTTTCTATGAAGGAAGAGGAGAAGAGAAAGATGCAGCAGTCGAAATTAGATTTCTAGTGCACGACCGCGCTCGATTTCGGGACGGAGCATAAACGAAGCACACACCCCGACTTTCTAATAATACGCGTCCCCATACCATCCTTTTCAACAATGAACATACAATTTCCCGCCAATTTCGCGACGGCGAGGTCAGAAGGAGAGCGAAATTGTGGGCAATTAGATCGGCCGAAGAGCCGCCCCTGCGTGTCTGCTATCAGTTTGCCTCGTTTTTCACAGGGCACATCTTCACGCTAACGCGTTATACACGCCGTTCGATTTTAGCTGACCGTAACCACACCCTATGCGGGGAAAAAAAAATGGGTCGTGCAAGTCAACTCGGTGGTTTGTTCAATTTCGTCGAATGGATGGCAAAAAGCATCCGACAATTTTGCAAATTAAAATCACTAAAGCATCGTTTGTCGTGATTTAAATTTGCGATAATTAGATTCTTAAACATTATGCATCTGAACATGCATAATTGCAATTTTGTAGATACTATAAAGTTTAATATGGCAACAAAACTCTTTTCTAAATTTCCTTCTTTCACACACACACACACACACACACACACACACACACACACACACGCACGCACACACGCACGCACGCACGCACGCACGCACACGCACGCACGCACGCACGCACGCACGCACACGCGCACACGCGCACACGCACGCACGCACACACGCACACACGCACACGCGCACACACGCGCACACACACACACACACACACACACACACACACACACACACACACTCACTCACTCTCTATTGAGAATTTATTATAATATTAATTTTATTTTATATAAACTTATTAAATAAGTATTTAAATTATTATTAAATAGAAAAAAAGAAGTATGCTATATATTCAAGAGGCATTCATATAATCATTAATTCATATTCATTCATTTATTCAAAGATTACCTTGCAAAGAATTAATGTAGATATTGAATGTGATTTCTGAAGTTATACATAAATCAACTAATCAAACAATAAGACCATGTGCACAATAGAGAAAATATTAGGAAGAAATATTAAATATTAGGAATAAGAATTATTTTAAAATAATAAAATAAAAAAACTTTGATTTAAAAATACAAATTCAGATATGAAGGACTAAGGGCTAATAAACTAGTACGAGTCCTTTATACTCGAATTTGTATTTGTATATATATATTAAAGTTATTTTTCGATATTATTATTTTAAAATAATTCCTATTCCTAATATCTAATATTTATTCCTAATATTTTCTCTATTATGCGGAGAATCTAAACGAACATAGCATTTAATAATAATTGTCGAGTGTTTTTTTGTAAGCGAAGCAAAATGCGATTACGTGGAAAGAACCCCATGAATCTAGATTAATGACCAACCGCTACGTGCCGGCACCCCTGTGCTCTAGTTAGAGTCTGCAACCCTAGTCTCTCTATTCTCCCTTAGCAACGATCTGCTCTATACATGCGAGTAGGCGCCATGATGTCCCAATCCTCAATCCGGGTGACTCTATAAGAGCTACACCCACGCATTCTGTTAGGATTAATGTCATGGTACATTGCGTTCATAGCTTATATTCAGTTTACAGTTCACATCATCAGATACATACATCAGTTGCAAAGACTTTTTTTATTTTTGAAAAAAGGAAATTCGCACGCCTCTCCTGTAGTAGAAACATTTTTTCTACTTATTTAAATTATTTATTATTTAAATTATATAGATTATTTTAAGCATGTTATATTTAAATATTAAAAAAATAGTAACATACTTATATTAAAAACAACAGATGCATGTAATTGTGTGTTCTATATAAAAAATTATGTATCCTATATAAAAAATTATTGATAGCTTCGAAATATCTGTTCCAAATAAGACTTTGTAATATTATGATCTTGATTGTGAAATTTAAAAATGAAATTACTTGAAAGAACAGGATAATTATTTTAATTGATCGAGTATACGAAATACATTAAGGTGTGGTTTAATACTGATGGTCTCGTTAAGGTCTGACATTTCAAACTTAGTCCTTTAATTTATCTTCCACACCTCGTTTCCTCAGCTTTATTACGCTTATACTTTTACAAGAAGTTGAACAGAAATTTTAAAATTTTAATTATTAAGAAAAATCTTAGGAGAAAACTTTTCTTAATTTTTTTTTACTTTATAGCTTTATAGATGGAATCGTTCGGATTTTATTGGTTTCATCTTTCACATTTTTTCTTCATTTTTTGACATTTAACATTAAAGAGGTTTGCTTGCAAAATTTCAAATAAAATTCTTTTAAAGCCAAGATAAGATAATAAAAGATAAACTTTCCTAATATTTATTTTTTATTTAAAATTTTATATAAAAATTAATCCATTTTGTCAAATCTATCCTAAATTTGCAGTGGACTAAAAAATTCAATTAAACAAAAACCGATATTTCTGGAATATTTATGTATATTAGACTATGTACTAGACTATGTATTAGACTATGTACCAGACTCAAGATTCAAGTTACCTTATAGCAAATCAACGTAAATTCATGAGCTTGGGAAATAGAAATAAAGCTTCGCATTTATATTGCGGTCAACCTCATCCTCCTTCATATTAGCGATTTGAGTATCATACTGATGAGTTATACAGGGAATAACGGATATGCACGCAAAAAACCGCAAATCTATTTTATATTACAAACACGTTTTTCGTTACTGCGACCATGATATCACCGTGACATCACGCCCGAAAAAAAGGACGATATACTGATCATATCTGCAGGACACGTCACCATGCCGCAATGTCCTCACATGTATTTTAACAATAAAAACAATAAGGCATACAGTACAATCAGGTTTCACAAATAAAAAAGAATGCTTATAAATTGCTTATAGGCAGGAAGTGCAAAAGAAATTCCTCACGTTGTGAAAATGTCAGAGTGCATCCGCGATTAGCATTGCAGTTTCGCGTGAGCGTTAAGTTAGAGCAAAAATAACTTCTCCTTTCGATGAAGAGGAGACCGTGTAGTTCGTGGAATTTTCGTTGGATCGAAGCTCAAAGCCGATTTCCGTTTATAAGATTCCGGCTGCAGCTGGAGTTATTTAGATTTTATGTAAAATATAGGCGCTAACAAGAATATTTAAATTGCAATGTACAATGAGAATCTATCATATATAAATCCGTGATTCATTATTATATAAATTAATATAATATATATATATATATATATATATATATATACAGGGTTTGTCCGGAAAGTAATGCGTCGCATTTTTTGTGACGCGACTATACATCGCAGAGCGATGGGACCGGTTGGGGAGGAAGGGGGGTACCCTTAGCTTTCCAACGGTAGGTCGCTCAATTGTTTCCATGCGCTTGGAGGGTTAGGACGGCTTATTCTGTGAACCTCTGCTTAGTGGTCGCGTCGAACTTGTGATGGAGAGAACGATAGAGCAACGCTATGCGATAAAGTTTTGCGTGAAGCTGGACAAGACGCCGCTGGAAACTTTTGAAATGCTCAAGAAAGTTTGGCCCCGGCGGACTTTTTTTTATTTCCTCGGCTGAAAAGGGAGCTCAAAGGACAACAGCTCGAGTCGGTTGACAACGTACAAGCTACTTCGACGGCCTCCCTGAACAGCATCCCAGTCAAGGAGTTCCAGAAATCTTATGACGCATGGAAATCGCGTTGGCAAAAATGTATTGACGCAGAAGGGTCATACTTCGAACAATTTTAAGTTGTTTTACCTATGCGATCAATAAATTCTTTTTAAAAAAATGCGACGCATTACTTTCCGGACAAATCCTGTATATATATAAAATTAGTAAATAAATTAAATATCTAAGCAGTAAATATATTAAAGAAATAAATTGAATAAATACACTTACAAAAGATCGCGCGTTAAATTTCACAATTTAAATATTTTTTGCTTGTATCTATTTAATTATTTTAATTTTCTTCATATTTATGACTAGATATTTTATTTAATTTATTAATAGTAATGAAATAAGTATTAAATAATATATAAATAAATGTATAAATATTATATATTTATTTAGTTTTTATTTATTACTTAATATTTATTTTATCATTATTAGTAAATAAAATATCTAATAATATATAATAAAGAAGATTAAATAGGCACAAACAAAAATATTTATATTGCAAAACAAAACCAATTTTTTTAAACTTATAAATTCTAACGTATGTTAATATTCTTATAAAAGAATGACTAAATTGTTGGAAGATTTTTTGTTATGGCTACGAATTTTCTCAAAAAAAAAAAAAAAAAAAAAAAAAAAAAAAAAAAAAAAAAACTAAAGTGCATACATAAACATTCGTCGAATGGCAAGAAAATATGGGAGCACATGGGGTGTTAAAGAATATACGTTTTAACGATCCGAGGGTTTGTCTTATCGATTGCGTCTTTCTCCCTCGCTTTCCATGCCTTTGTTTGTTCCAGTCTTCTCTTTTCGTGAGAAAATAACATCGTATCGAGTAGAACTTACGAAATTTCTTGACACAAGCTCGGATTCCGTAAAAGAGACATTGTTCTGCAAACCTCCGCGTTTTGCCTTATTTCGGAATGTTTTTTATCTTAACCGCCGACATTCCATGAGTATATCGAAAACACACCCGTTTAAATAATTTCTATCATTTTTAATGTTTTACGCTATTTACTCATCGAAATAAAAGAGGAGATTTTCTATACATATTAGGTGCGCAACTAAGTTCTCGCTGTTTTTTTTATGAAAATGCAACTTTATTGTGAAAAAATGGTTACAAATGAATCATTCAAAGTATTGCCCATCGTTAGCCACAACTTTTTCCCATCTTTCTGGCAGAGCTCGAATACCGTTACGGTAAAAGTATTCGTCTTTTGAGGCTATCCACGAATCAAGCCATTTTTTGATGTCTTTATATGAGCGGAACTGCTGATCAGCCAGACCATGTGCCATCGAACGGAACAAGTAATAATCGGACGGCGCAATATCTGGGGAATATGGCGGGTGGGGTAGGACTTCCCATTTGAGCGTTTCCACGTAAGTTTTAACGGGTTTGGCAACATGAGGCCGAGCGTTGTCATGCAGTAGAATCACTTTTTCGTGCCTCTGCTCATTCCCAACGCATGCAATCGCTTGGAAATGGCTTGGCGGGTAACTCCTAATGCTGAAGCAAGCTGTTCTTGCGTTTGGCATGGATCCTCATCGAGCAATGCCTCCAATTCAGCGTCTTCGAAGGTTTTTGGCCTTCCTTCACGCGGACGGTCGTCAACATCGAAATCACCGTCTTTGAAGCGACGGAACCAATCACGGCACGTTGTTTCACTTAGAGCAGCATCTCCGTAAACTTTTTGGAGCTCTCGATGCGCTTCAGCCGCCGTTTTCTTCGAATGAAATAAGAAAATCAACACTTCCCGCAAATGACGATTATTTGGTACAAAATCAGACATTTTCAATCAACTAAAAGTATATGACGCCAAAACAAAATCATTAACATGTCAAAGCGGTTTGTTTACCATATGTCTAAGCTTGGCTCGTGACGTTTTGGATATGTCAAAATCGACCAGCACTTACTGCTGGAGCCATCTATAGACAAACAGCGGGAACTTAGTTGCGCACCTAATATATAATTTTAAAAGAAAGTGAAGGTTTTATACATACATAAAATTGTAAAATTGTTTCTCTTTTTTTTGAAAGCTTTTATTTTTATGAATAAGTGGCACTGAAGAGTGCTTTCACATTGCTTTTCTACAATACATGTATCAATAATATCAGGGAAATTCGATTTGATATGAAAAATGAGAAATAACAGTTTTTCTTATCTATTTTCATCTCGATTTGACATTTCGAATTGCAGACGAACTGTCAACCTCATCATAATATGTGCTTTATATAAAACATATACATTTTGTACGAATAAAAATGCACATTTCCTGGGGTTAGAGGACATGAAAGAAAGTACTGTTATCTTCTAAATCTAGATTAGAAGTCTAATAAAAATTTGTAATTAGAAATACGATTCGTACGTATGTGTGCGTTGTGTGTACGTGCATATGTTTTGGATATGTGTCCTGCTATTTTGTCGGAGTTCATTATTTGCTGAGGGATCCCCTTAAGGGGATGTCGGAGAGACGGCCGAACTCCGATAGGTTAGCACCACACATATCTAAACATATGCACGTATACACATATACACATGATATATTAGCACCACACATGTCTAAACATATGCATGTATACAACACATATGCGTGAAAATTTTCTGCACCGTTTTCTTATTTATTAGGCTTTTAAACTTATATCTAAAAATATACTAATACTTCTTCATTCAATTTCTAGTCGGAACCCATCTTATTTTGTACGTACAAACAGCAGAACTTTTATATTAAACAATTATTTTTTCGACCTGACGACAGAAGTCGATAAAGAAATTTTAGTTTTTAAATTTTTTCTTGTTTTAACATAAAATCAGTAGGTTCCCACTTTGTTTCTGTACGTGTTTTAATTGTGGAAAAGCATTTATTATTTTATTAAACCAATAAAAAGATTTCGGTGCAGAAAAATCTATAATCATCTGATCGATAAAACAGACATCCGGCATCCCCTTAAACATAGTATCAAGTCGCGTATCGATTGTTCGTAAAGGTTTGACAGCATTCAACGGATTACGAATGAATGGATGACGTCAGCCCACATTCTCTCACGCCTTAATGGTTATTATTGCCAGGAGGCACGCACTCTTTTATTCCTCGAGAAGGGGGACCTTAAGGCAAAGCGCACGCACATGCGTATACATTTGTACAACGCATGGGAACGTGGTGCAATAGACGACAATGTCGATAGAATGCGCAACGTGACGTTGAAGAGTGTATAACGAAAAGAGGAGTGCCATTTAGCCGAATTGATCCTCCCGTGCACAGTCCCTGAATATTTTTAGCGCTCGTGAAGTTTGTTCGAGAATTGGTAATAAAATCAATATTAATTATAGTATATTTTTTCAAGACTATTTCGCTCTAAAAATCTCAAAATATGCAGTTGTAATTACTTTAATCATACCGTTCTGATATAATTCAAAAGCTTTCAAACCTCTCGAAATAACATTAAGTTTTCACGATGTCAACGTGTATGATACTTGCATCATTCTTTTTTTTTCTCTCTAATGAATTGCATTAGTGTCTTTGAAAAATAATAGCAGACGTCGTTGTCGAAAGGCAGATAATCTTAAAAGAAAGAATGAAAAATTCAATTGCGCAACTTCCGGCACGAACTGATTCGAAATAATTCGTTATTGCCCCGCGGTCGGTTCTCGCATATCGGGTTCGCCACCGTCGTGCGAAAATAACCGCGGCACGGCTGCTGCAAGGGATATAACGTCTGTTGGGTGAAATAGCAGAAGGGACGACATTGGGACTGGCCGTGCGCCAAACGGGAAGATAACGCGGGACCACAGATGCGCTTCGTCGTCGCCATCGCGCGGTTCTCCAACTGACTCATTATCATCGTTGGCGGGAGGGAGAAGGGATTCAAAAATTGTTGAAAAAAATTCAAGGAAATATTTTGTAACCTTTAGATAAGATCTGCAAAATTCCCAAGATTCGTAAAAATACTACTCTAATAATCGAAATTAATTGAAACATATAATTCTCTCGATAAATATTTTTTTTCTTGTCGATTTTAATTTTATATAATTGATTATAATAAAAATACTACAACTAGTATTTATAATATTAGAAATTAAATTATAATATTAGAATCGACAAGTAGAAGGAAAAAGTATTTATCGAGAGAATCATATATTTCAATATATTTTGATTATTAGAAGTACATATTTTTGAGAATCTTGTAAAACTTAAATTTTTTTACAGATCTTATATAAAGTTTTAAAAATATTTTCTTAAAATTTTTATTATATACCTACTGTAGCAGGATTTTTATTACCAAAGTGCAACTATTCTAAACAGTTTCAATATTATTTTTATCATCTTTTCTTATTATCTTTTCGGGAATTTAAAATATATCCCGTTGAAAATAAAGATATTCAAGAAGTTTGATTGAAAAATAATTCTTATTCGCAAAATATATGTATTGTATTATTCGAGGCGCAAGGGTTGAAACTAATAGCATATCGTAATTACGACAGGTGAATCGTGTAATAACATTTCCATGGTGGATCTTTGCCTCGTAGCACAATGAACCCGATTTGCGGCTCGTCCCGTAGTCCTATCACGCAGAGACATAACTCTCGCACGTATACATTCCATCTATAGAATCTCATACTTTCCCTTATTTGGAAAACGATGCTTCTGGGGAATTACGATTACTCACGTGTCATGAAAACACGAATCTCGAAGCTCTCGATAAAATAGACAATTTTTCTCGAATGCATAAAAATATCTTGTTTTTCTCTTTGTACATCTATTTAAAAAAATATATATATTTAAAATTTTATTAATTAAATATTAAATATTAATATTTAATTATATTATTATTAAATATTTTATTAATTAAATATTAATAGAGTTATTCAGAATAAATTTATAATTAAAACAGGTAATAAGTAAAAATAAATTTGTTACGTATTGTAATACGTACATATATTACATCAAATAATGTCATGTACGATTATACGATGTGATATCATTCAACTTGGTTTTTTTCATGAGTCACATTATTATAATTCATTGATTCCATTTTGGTATCTTCTGTCATACCCAGAGATATATAGATAATTTTCACTCGTACTAAGATATTATTAGTTCTACTTGTTCTCCTTCATTTTATCGAGGGTTCAGAAAACTTCATGCTGTATCGCAGACAGTTTAAAAGACCGTTAAATAATGAGTCAGCTCAATAGAGAAAGATGACCATGTAACATCTTGCGCGCGCGCGTGACCGGATCGTTACGGATATCAAGAACACGAGATGTTGCTGTGAATAACATTAATCTTCCTCGGTTGGGCGTGATCCTCGTATAAGGACAGGGCCGATGTATCTACGTAATACATTTACGAGAAAATGTGCGTTCAAATAGCTATAAAAATCTAGTTTATTTTAAGCTTCTATTGAATGACTTTCTCCAATAAATATATTTTTTAAATTTACTTTTGATAGTAATCTATTTTTTTATCGCATTTCATGTAAATTAATTACTGCAAATCATAAAAAAACATTATTTCATATAAATTTATAAATTAATAGACGACCAAACTGGGCAAATAATATACGTTTATTTAGATGTAAGTCATTACATTTCGACCTCTGATTTAGATCCTTATCAAATGCAACAAAGAAGAATGACAGTTATAGTAACTCGCAGTTGAAATAGTCACATGTATTATAATACTTTCATGTAAAAAAAGCGACTCTCACGTCACATTGTTTCTTAACTATGACATTTTAATTAGTGCATCAATTTTTAACATCTTTAATTCTTTTTTGTTGCATTTGATAAGGATTTAAATCAGAGATCGAAACGTTATAACTTACATCTAATAAACGTATACTATTTGCGCTATAGTTTAGTCGTCTATTAATTTATAAACTTGTT